CCTTGCAACCAAGGTACATGCCCTTAACCAGACTTGAACCCAGGATCATTCGACCCGCAGGTCGACACTCTGTCCACTGAGCCAGACTGGCTAGAGGTCTCGGAACGTATTGAATCGTTAAGTGATGTGGAACGGTACAGGACCTGCCAGGGACACAGTGATGGGGTGTCGGAGCCTCTGCGTTCCAAGACCCAAGCAGGGGTGTGATCCCGTAGACGTTCCATCGTCTGGCTCCTGCGCCGTTCCTATCCTCTCTGACTTAAAGGAGTGTCCTCTCTGACTTACCCAGGAGAGGCCTCTGTGGGTCTGGAAGATCCCCTAGACGCACTGAGAGAGTCCCCATGGCTGCTTGCAGCGTCGCTCATCTCAGAGGTCTTCTCTCGGCTTCTGGGGCGTGTTACCCCGTCTCTGGGCTCTGGCTCATGCCCCGCATGTCTCTGGGCACAGGCATCCCAAGTTCTCAGCTCTCTTCTTGAACTTTGGCCTCAGTCTAGCTGAACTTCCACCTCCAAGGGGTGCCCCGTCTGTAGCCATCCTTCATGTCCTGTGTTACTGACCAGCGGGTTTGCTCGCTGCTCAGATTCCACAGCCTCTTGGGAGGCACAGTCGTACCTCTCCCCGGCATGCTCCAGCTGCTCTGGGCTTCAGGCCGCCCTCCCTGCACTGTGACTGCTGTCACCTGGAGGCTCTTTGGCTCCAAGGCTGCCACCCCTGCGGTTCTCCTCAAATGTGGTCTCCCCGGAACGCCTGGGTGGTGGGCTTTGAATCCTGCTGTGCTGTCGCACCCCCAGGAGCCTCTATCAGCTCTCGGATGTCCCCACAGCAGCAGAGAGCCGAGGCCAGGGAAGGCGGCTAGAACCTCAGGCCCCATCCTGGCTCTGACACCCGGATTCCTACCATGTGCACAACTCACATCCCCTTGCACGAGTGTGTGTGCATTTGCACAGGGATGTGGAAGCCGGTGCAGAGGCAGGGCCAGGGGGGACCCCAAGGGGCCAGATGGGAAGTTCCCAAGAGACCCAGGGCCCCTTTACAGGAACTCCCCAAGTGCAGAGCTGAGGACTGCTTCAGGCCTGCCCTGGCCCTGTCTCCCCAGGTGAACGGGGCACAACCCTGTCCGGTGGCCAGAAGCAGCGCCTGGCCATTGCCCGCGCCCTCATCAAGCAGCCAGCTGTGCTGATCCTGGACGAGGCGACGAGCGCCCTGGATGCAGAGTCCGAGCGGGTTGTGCAGGAGGCCCTGGACCGAGCCAGCGCCGGCCGCACCGTGCTGGTCATCGCCCACCGGCTCAGCACCGTACGCGGGGCCCACCACATCGTCGTCATGGCCCAGGGCTGCGTCTGTGAGGTTAGTAGCTGCCGGGGGGTTGGGGGGAACTTGAACCATAGACACACTGGAGCAGTGCTCAGCCGAGCTCTGAGGGTATGGCCAGTCCTGGGGGCTTAGGGCTATCTTCTACAAGCAGCACCCCATGTGGATCCAGAAATTTCTGCCCTTCGGTAAGTCCTGGCCTCTCAGGTCTCCAGAGTCTTCCTCTGTCCAGGGACACAGGGAAGTGTAGTGTGCCTGGGGCTGAGGTACCGAAGAGGCAGCCCCAGGGACCAGCAGGAGCTGCACCCAGAGGCAGGGTCTGCAGCAGGCTTGGAGGCTGCATGGGGCCTGTTCAAGCCGAAGCTGAAGGTTTGCTGGGCCCTGAGCTGGGGTCTTTGGGCTGTTGAGGGGCCTGGAGGACAGCGGGGAGGGGGGACTCACAATACAGATATGCCAGTGGCATCTGTAACCACTTGTGCTTTGGTTTCATTGTGTCCATGGAAGAGACACTGGCCTACGTGACAGTGAACCCGATTGCCAGTATGAAGCCAGCCTTTGTAGGGCCTGAGCTCTGAGCTGTGTTGGGTGACCATCTGCCCCTCCTTCCTCTCCAGGAGGGGACCCATGAGGAGCTCCTGAAGAAAGGTGGACTCTATGCCGAGCTCATCAGGAGACAGGCCCTGGGCACCCCATCTCCTGAGGCACCCAGAGATCCCAGGAACTACCATCCAAAGTCCTGAGAGCAGCCCTCTGCAGTCTGGTCACTGCCAAGCATTAGTGCCCGGGGCTGAAGACAGCTCCCCAGAGGGCCGGGCCGGCTGTGGGCTGCCCCCCCTGCCCACAGTAAACCCAGGACAAGCCCTGGGCTAGAAGGAAGTTGAACTGCTGCCATCCCCTCTCCCATCTACCTCCTGGCTGCCTCTCCTGCCAGAGCCACTGAGTCATTGAGCTGCACAGGGAAGGAGCAGAGTCCCGGGCCCATGCTCTATTCTCTCCCTCCCCACCTCAGGAGCTCTGCCAGCCTTCCTCCTACCCGACAGCGGGCCCCAGCTCTGAGGAGACTGCCTTCGGGGTCAGGAGGTGGGTAAGAGAATTCTCCCTGGGGTTCTCCCCCGCCCCATGTCAGACCTCAATTTCCTAGGCTGATCCCAACACCCCTTTTTCCCCACGGCCTCTCTGGACCCTTAAAGAAGGAAGACACACACACACACACACACACACACACACACACACACACACGGTCAACCCCTCAAACCCCCAATCCCCATCCTCAGGACAGTTTCTCTTCCTTCACACAGCCCTTGTTTCTAGATTTCACCCTTCCTCATCCAAACAGGACAGATGCCTGATAGGCCCTCAGGGAGGGAATGGAGGGGTGGGCACTGTGGTCCAGCCACTGCCTCTCCCTCCCCCCCGAGTCTGTAACATGGTGAGATTGTAGACAGCCCCCTCTACATGAGGACACCAGCCTGAAGGGGACAGAGCAGGAGCCGATACACTCACAGCTACAGGAGCACATAGTACCAGCACCAGACCACAAGGGAGGGGCAGACAGAATAGAAAACCAGGGGAGGAGGTCGGACCAGGGAGCCAGCGGCCCCAAAGCTTGAATGAGGACCTGGGAGTAGCCACAGTTTCCCACCAGCCCTCGTGGGCTCCCCTGCTGCCTTGACTCTGCTCACATCACCTGTCAGCGGGCAACCTTCCCCTTTCACAGCCACGTCTGGCTGAGGTGCCCCTGAGCCCTGCTCCCAAGGCAGGAAGAGGCTGCCTGAGCCAGACCTTCGGGCTGACCACGCGTGTTAGGTTTATCCTGTGCCCAGTTGGGGAGGCCATGGTTGGGAGCAGCAGCAGTTGTAGGAGAAGCAGAGCCCAGGTGTGAGCTGGTGAGAAACTCCATAGCCTCTTCTGTGTGGGGGTGAGGACCAGAGACCCCCAAAATACCGTGGCCACAGTGCCCTGCTTTGCTGCCCCACTCCCTGGCCGATGGAGGCCATCCCATCCCAGGGCGGACTTCTGTTTGCTTTGCCAACTAAGCACCTACTGCAGCCCAGAGCAGGCCTTAAGCCCTCTCCCCCCAGTTCACCTGGCCGGCCTGGCCCCTCCCTCAGGAGAGCCAGCTGGCCAGTTCCTGCTGCTCCAGCCCTGGCCTCAGCCCTCTGATACCAGGTCCTGGGTCACTCCTTACCTTTCGGGGTGGCCTCTCCAAATCCTGCTCCCACGCCCCGCCCAACTAGGGAAGTGGTGAGGCCCATGGTGTGCCTTCGGCTGGAAGGCCATGAGATTGGCGCCGTGTAGCCTGATCCTGGACCTGGGCTCCTTTGGCCATTCAACATGGGTCCTGAGCCTGGCGGTGCTTGTTTTAAGCGTTTCAGTGGTAAAGTTCTTAAAACTCAATGCTGTGGCCTACGAGGGTGGTCAGACTGGGCAATAAACCGTATCACCTCCTCCTCCTGTCCAAATGTTTTTATTAAGCACCTCGTGCCCCGATGGGGATGACAGCCTGCCCATCCAATAGGCAACACAGTGCCTGTGACTGAACTGTTTCTTCTACTTGGCCCAGAGCCCACCCAGTGGCCTCAGATGCTTTGGAAAGAGACGAAGTAGAAGCAGATTTCAGTGAGTTAATGGAGATAAAAACTTGCTTCCTCTCAGGCCCCCAGTGCAGCATCTGTCTCCCCATTCCCCTACACTCGGCTCGCTCTGTGGCCCTCTGGGTCCTGTCAGGCCCGCAGGCAGTGATGTCGCAGGCCCTGCCCTGCCCTGCCCTGGTGGTGCCTGCTCCAGCTGCTGCGAGGTGCCCCACAGGCTCTGGATCCTGGATGCTCTGTGGCCCAGGCTGGCCGGCCAGCTCACAAGAACCCGCTCCCCCATGTTCCTGCTGGGAGCACAAAACGGTGTGACTCCGACGCCAGGAATTTTGTGGCGTCAAATGACCCACGAAGTTGATGCAGCAGTTCCGTTTCTGGGAGTTGAGTGTTGCTGAGTGCACTGTAATGGAAGACTGGAAACCCCAGGGTTCATCAGGGACGTGGTGACATCTACAGGGGTGTGTCCACATAAGGGAAGGGTATGCAGCCATTTAACAACAGAGGTTTTCCAGCTCGGGATATCGCGTTGTCCCAGAATGTGTTATATGTAAAAAAGGATGTGAAGCCAAAACCGGTTTGGCTCAGTGGATAGAGCCTGTGTACTGAAGGGTCCCGGGTTCGATTCCAGTCAAGGGCATGTACCTTGGTTGCAGGCAAATCCCCAATAGGGGGTGTGCAAGAGGCAGCTGATCGATGACTCTCATCAATGTTTCTAACTATCTCCCTTTCTGTACAAAATCAATAAAATATATTAAAAATAAATAAATTTGAGATACTTTAAAAAAAAAAATTAAAATTAAATAAATAAATAAAGATGTGCCAAAACCGGTTTGGCTCAGTGGTAGAGTGTTGGTCTGCAGACTGAAAGATCCCAGGTTCGATTCTGGTCAGGGGCATGTACATTGGTTGCGGGCACATCCCCGGTAGGGGGTGTGCAAGAGGCAGCTGGTCGATGTTTCTCTCTCATCGATGTTACTAGCTCTCTATCCCTCTCTTCTCCTCTCTGTAAAAAAATCAATAAAATATATAAAATAAAATAAAGATGTGAAATCATAGAACATGCATGCCATACCTGGGAACTGGACTGTTACCTGGGAGTGTGGCAGGTGAGCCCACTTTCGTGGTGGTAGAGACCCACCTTCCAGGTTGGAGGGCATGGGCTGGGGGAGGGAGCGGGAAGAGGGTCACCAAGAGATATCCCAGGACGTGGGGCCTCAGAGGCCTGGGCCATCCGGTGCAGGCTGGAAGACGGGGGTCAGAAGGAGGCGGCGGCCGATGCCAAACAACACACCATCTTCCAGCCTGGTCAAGAGCCAACTCCCCTCTTTGTAAAATGAACACACGCACGCACCCGCTGTGGGGAGGGAGGAGGGAGGAGCCAGGCCAAGGGCCAGTGACTGACAGCCCCACATACAGGGGCTGCAACTGGGAAACTAGAGGCCCCAAGGGCACCCCCAGCTCCGATTATCTCTGGGTTCTCCTCAAGCCCAACTAGGGTTGCTGTGGTTTCTTGCTGGCGCCTCTGGCCTCAACACCCCCCCACACCCCCCCATGCTGCACTAATGGCTCAGTCTGGGGCTCCAGGGACCTCCCCACCCCCCAGGCTGCTCTGCCAGCCCCCGTGCCCCTCACTGCTGAAACCCAATCCTCTGCGGCAGCTCTGGCTCAGCAGAGCACCAGACCAGCCCTGCTTGCCTCGCAGGCTGCACCCTACCTGCTCAGCACGGGCCCGCGGAGTGGAGCACAGCCTGTTCCTGGACAAGGCCGGAGGGACCCTGCAGGTCACTGCGTCCAGCCCAGCCAGGCCAGTGCCACCCCACCTCCCTTCCGGTGTGGCCCCTCTCCTTGCCTCCCGCCTGCCCTGTCCCCTGCCTGGCCAGACCCTCCCAGACCTCAGACTGACCCTCTCCTGCTCCTCAGCCCCTTCGCCTGGCCATCGGCCCCAGCCCTCTGTTCCCTCCCCTCAGCTGGGCCATGAAGCCCCCCTCGGGGCCGGAGGAGGCCCGGCGGCAGGCCTCGGACATCAGCGTGTTCGCCAGCAGCTGCACGCTACACGGGCTGAGCCACGTCTTCGGTCACGGACGCCTGACGCCGCGCCGGGGGCTGTGGGCCGTGGCCGTGCTCCTGTCCGTGGCCGCCTTCCTCTACCAGGTGGCGGAGCGGGTGCGCTACTACGGGGAGTTCCATCACGAGACGGCCCTGGACGAGCGCGAGAGCCACCAGCTCACCTTCCCGGCCATCACCCTGTGCAACATCAACCCGCTGCGCCGCTCCCGCCTCACGCCCAACGACCTGCACTGGGCCGGGCCCTCGCTGCTGGGCCTGGAGCCCCCGGAGCACGCCGCCTTCCTGCGCGCCCTGGGCCGGCCCCCCGCGCCGCCTGGCTTCATGCCCAGCCCCACCTTCGACATGGCCCGGCTCTACACGCGGGCTGGGCACTCCCTGGAGGACATGCTGCTGGACTGTCGCTACCGCGGCCGCCCCTGCGGGCCCGAGAACTTCACTGTGGTGAGCTGGCCACCCGCCCCGTCCCACAGAGACCCAGGCGTGCCCGGGGCCTGCCGTCCCAGTCCTGGCAGCCCAGGTTCCCCCAGAGCCAGGGGATCTCAACCCCTGTGCCCTGGGACCCTTTCCTTCCCCGCCGGGATGCAGGCCCCCACCAACCAGTACCTGCCTTTCCATTCTGACCAGGAAGCGGTCCTCCTTGGGGCCCCGCTCTGTCACTGCTGGACTGGTGTGCAAGGTCACACCTTCCAGAGGGGGCCTGGCCCGGGCTGGCTGTGGGCTCAGGTCTGCCTGTGGAAACCCCCTACTGGGGGGTGGAGGGACCGGTTCCCGGCAGAAGACGCCACTGTCTGCGAGGGCGGGGCTGGTTTCCCTCTGCTTCCTCACATCTGCCAGTCCTGGAGGGAGGCACCTGGGACCCTGTTTCCCACCCCCACCTCTAAAGACACGCTTGCCCTGTGGACTGGGGCCCTTGGCTGGGGACAGACGGGGTGAGAAGGTGGCGTGATGGGAGCCCATGAGGGTCCAACTGCAGGCGCCTGCGTGGTGGGGGCATTGAGCTGTGGGCCTCCGTGTTCAAAGAAGAAATCCAGAGGACGGGGAAGGGAGAGGTCCGTGGACTGGGTTTGCCTGGCTGGGCCCCTTGCTCCCCGGTGAGGTCTGCACCTGTCTGCCTCCCCCAGGTCTTCACCAGGATGGGTCAGTGCTACACCTTCAACTCCGGCGCGGACGGGGCAGAGCTGCTCACCACCCCCAAGGGCGGAGCGGGCAACGGGCTGGAGGTCATGCTGGACGTGCAGCAGGACGAGTACCTGCCTGTGTGGAAGGACACGGGTAGGGGAGCCCGCATGGGGGCTCGGGGGTGGCCACCAGCGGGTGCAAAGGGCTCTGGGAAGGAGAGGAGTGCTGGGAAGGGACCTGAGGCACGCCCTTCCTTTAAGAGGAGGGAGCGGGCGGGGTGGCCATTTCTGGGGAGAGGGGCTGCAGCCGGGGCCCCAGGAACCCAGGCCTCAGGTCCCCTCCTCCCTCACAGAGGAGACCCCATTCGAGGTGGGGATCCGAGTGCAGATCCACACGCAGGAGGAGCCACCCAGCATCGACCAGCTGGGCTTTGGGGCAGCCCCTGGCTACCAGATCTTTGTGTCTTGCCAGCAGCAGCAAGTATCCTCCCTGGGCCAAGCCCCTCCCGCCGCCAAGGTTCCGCGCCCACCCCACCCCACCCCCCGCCCCCTCAGCCCAGGCCACTCCAGACCCCAACCATGCAGCTCTTCAGACCTGCCCCAGGCCTCACCCCCTCGGTGACCACTCATCCTCCCCGAGTGCCCCCTTCTCCCCAAGCCTCCTTAACCGGCCCCACCACAGCTGAGCTTCCTGCCGCCACCCTGGGGCGACTGCAGCTCGGCATCCCTGGACCCCGACTTTGAACCAGAACCCGCCGGTCCTCTGGGTCCCCCCAGCCCCAGCCCCGGTCCCAGCCCTCCCTATAGCCTGATGGGGTGTCGCCTGGCCTGTGAAACCCGCTATGTAGCTCGGAAGTGCGGCTGCCGGATGATGCACATGCCTGGTGAGGAGGGGGGAGGGGACCGGGTGCCGCGGGGAAGGGACAGGGTGCCATGGGGAAGGGACAGGTGCCATGGGGAGGGGACAGGGTGCCGTGGGGACGGGCCGGGCCGGGAGGAGCCTCGCAGCCGTCACACACGCCCCCCTATCGGGTCCCCCAGGCAGCGCTCCGGTGTGCAGCCCCCAGCAGTACAAGGACTGCGCCGACCCGACGCTGGGTAAGGGGAACGCCCCCCGCCTCCCGTCCCCGCCTCGCTGGGCCCGGGACCCCCGCCCCCAGGGCAGCGGCCCTGACCCAGCCCTGTGCCCGCAGACGCCATGCTGCGGAAGGACACGTGCGTGTGCCCCAACCCCTGCGCCATCACGCGCTACGCCAAGGAGCTCTCGATGGTGCGGATGCCCAGCCGCGCGGCCGCCCGCTACCTGGCCCGGAAGTACAACCGCAGCGAGGCCTACATCGCGTGAGCCGGGGCGGGGCGGGGCGGGCGAGGGCCGGGGCGGGCCGCCTCCTGCCAGCCAGGCCCGTGCCCACCCTGCGGACACCGGGCTGCGTGCCCGCACGGCGCTCTGGACCGCGCCTAACATTCCTGCCGCCGCAAGCGGGGGCTGACCAGTCACCTGGGGCTCTGGAATGGAATCAGACCAGAGAACTCGCCGCCGGGGTTGTCCATGAGCATCCCTCCCCCTCTCCCTTCCCCCAGGGAGAACGTCCTGGTGTTGGACATCTTCTTTGAGGCCCTCAACTACGAGACCGTGGAGCAGAAGAAGGCCTATGAGGTGTCAGAGCTGCTAGGTGTGTGTATGTGTGTGTGCGCGGGGCGCCCCGGGGACGTGTGGGCAGAGCAGGAGGCTGTGAGCTGACGGTGACCCCATCTCCACAGGCGACATTGGGGGCCAGATGGGGCTGTTCATCGGGGCCAGCCTGCTCACCATCCTCGAGATCCTGGACTACCTCTGCGAGGTGGGCCTGGGCCCGCTCCGGGAGAGGGAAGGAAGGCCCGCCCGCGGGTGGAAGGGGAAGTGTGGGCTGACCACCGCCCCCACTGCTTGCCCCAGGTGTTCCTAGACAGGGTCCTGGGATACTTCTGGAACCGGAAGCGCTCCCAGAGGCCCTCCAGCACCCACCTGGTAACAGCCACTCTTCCTCCCCTGCCACCTCCACCTGAGGCTCTGCCTGGCCCTGGAAGCCGGCTGGGGACCGTGGCCATGAGGGGCACGCAGGACCTTGGCTGGGTGGGAGGCCCCTTCCCCTCTGACCCTCTCCCTCCTCCCACAGCTTCAGGAAGGGCTGGGCAGCCATGGAAACCAAGTGCCCAATCTCAGTTTAGGCTCCAGGTAACACCAAATGCCCCCCTAAGGTCAAGGGGGGGGCAGTCCTCCAGAGGGTGACGCTCAGGTCCAGGCGGGCAGGAGCAGTGCGGGGCATTGGTTCAAGGCCGCCTGACCCAGCACCGCCGTCTGTGTCTCAGCAGGCCTGCCCCCCCGCCCAGTGCCGTCACCAGGACCCTTTCTGCCTCCCACCGCACCTGCTACCTCGTCACACGGCTCTAGACCTGCTGCCTGTGTCTTCAGGGTCGAACCTTGACATCTCGGACACGCACTGCCTGCACACGATTTTGCCATCTTCGCCCCAAATAAAGTTCTAGTGCCTCAGCCTGAGCTGTTCCTCTCACAGGCAGACTAGCCAGGCCAAGGTCAGCCTCACTCAGGCACAAGCCTTCTGCCAGCCATCATCTGAGGACACGGTGTCGGAAATGTGGGCGGCTTCCCAATGAACCTGCCATGTCTCTCTGGGGGAGGAGAGGAATAGGGGGCACGGGCCACTTGTGCCTCAGCGGGAAATGAGTCTCAGTCAGACATCTCGGAGAGAATGGAGCTCAAAGCCAGGTGTGCAGGCAGACAGGAGTCCGTGGCCGGACAATCCATTGGGGGCTATCGGGAAGTGGGGAGCAGACAGAGGGATCTCCCACTTCCAAGAACAGCAGCTGTGGTCCAGACGCCTGACCTCCCCTCAACAGCAGAGGCCCAGCTTGGGCTGGCCCCCCTTCTGCTGGTAACACACCCAGCCGCAGCCCACTTTCCCTGCAACCCCGAATGTTAGAAAACAGACAAGGCAGCGGGGAGAGGTGTTCCTGATCTGACTACGTCTGAGTCTCTCCTGTCCCAGCCTGCAGGCCTAGGTGTGCGGGGGAGGGGGGTGGTGTAAAGGTGGGGGGCAAAGAGGGAAGGGACAGGGCAGGTCCCCATGGGGTATGGAAACATCTGGAAACACCCGGCCTCTTCTCCTGTTCCATGGAAGCTTTCAGACACCGGCTGCCTCAGTCCTCAGTCGCAGGCCCCCGCGGCGGAGAAGGTGGTGTGCACAGTACATAAGCACGTGTGGGCACAGCACTGCCCTGAGCCTGGCCACTGGGTTGAGAGCCACCCTCCCTCAGCCCCCGCCCAGGACCACGCACGGCAGCACAGCGGGACAGGACAGGGCTGCACACGGTGGTGAAGCCCAGTAGAAACCCCAACCCAAGCCCACCCTCTCAGCCGCCCACCACCACATCAGCCAGACGGTGGGAAAGGAGCCAATTTATGAAATTAAATAAAGTCTGTAGAGGGAGAGAGGACCCAGGGAGGGCGCCTCCGCCCTCGAGGGCCCAGCACAGCTGGAGCTCAGCACACTGTGCGTCCTTGCTTTCCTCCCCTCCCGGGAGGGGGCTGGGAACGGGCCAGGCCCCAGCCTGGCGGCCCGGGGTCCCAGAGCCTAGGGGGGGCAGAAGTCGGAGAAGTAGGGGTGCTGCAGAGCTTCCTCTGCCGAGATGCGCTGGATGGGGTTGCACTTCAGGAGGTTCTGGAGGCACGGAAGGAAGGCGTGGCAGGGTCAGGCAGGGCCAGCTGCCGGGGCCCCACCCTCCCCCGGTTCCCCTGCTCTTGGTCACCTGCAGCAGGTCCCTGCCTGTAGCGTTGAGCTTGGGTACGACGTTCACCAGGGATGTCGTGGCCGGGTACATCGGGTAGGGCTGCGGGAGACAGACAGAGTCAGACCAGAGGTGTGGGGCACAGAGGCTGCGAGGGCTGAGGAGTAAGGACCACCGCTGAACCATGACACCCCCCCCCCCCCCCCCGTCACACCTTGTAGTCTGGCAGCTTGGTCATGGAGGGCCACTGCTCCTCCGTCGGTGTCCCCAGCAGTGTGTCCAGGGAGTCAAGGATCACTCATGCAGCAGGGCCTCACCCCTGCCCGTCCCACTTTATCCGCCAGCTCATGACAGAAGCAGCCCCAGCACATGGGATTTTCGTTTTCAGTCCCACCTGCATGGTGTTTACCGTGGGCAGGTGGCCCTGAACCATGATGCCTGTGTCCTGAGGACTGGCCAGCCTTCCCCGACTCCCACAGACCCTCCTGCTGATCCTTTTGGCTCCTTGATCCTAAGGAGTCACGTGCAGCTAGAGGAACATTCTCTTGGCTTCTTCCCCCAGGGATACCTCCTTGTCTACATCTCACACTCTTTCCAGCTGGCTGCATGCAGCTGCATTGTGACAACCAGGGGGGGTGTCCCCCACCCTCTGCCCTCCATCCCCTGCCCCTCAGAAACTCTCAGCTCCTCCCATGCTGACCCACCCCTTACTCCCCTTCCAGAGGGCTCCTTACTCCCCTTCCCAAGGGCTGGAGGCGAAGGCAATGGAAGGATATCGGAAGATCCTCTTCAACTGGTCATCTACATCGTTGCCGGGGAAGAGAGGCCGCCCTGCATTGGCCAGCTCTGGGAGAAAGAGGACAGGGTGAGAGGAGCTGGCACGTGAGGAAATCCTCACTCCCAGACTCCCAGCCCAATGGCCCTGCTCCTGCCCCAGCCGGGACCCTCCAAACCCTATCTGTCAGCTCAGAGGGGAGAGAAGTGCCTCTGCAGACCCCAGCATGTCACCTGCAAAAATGCAGCCGGCTGACCACATGTCAATGGACGTGGAGTACAGCTTGGCCCCAAAGAGGACATCCGGTGGGCGGTACCACAGCGTGACCACCTGGAAAAGACCCCACCCACAGGGACCCCCCACTTAGAGGGCTGGGGAGAGGAGGCTCAGATGAGAGAGTAATGTTTGGGTCCTAGAGTAGGAGCTGAGAGAGATGCTCACTGGGGAAGCCCTCCCTCAACCCACGATCCACCCCCCACCCGCTCACCTCAGCCGAGTAACAGCGCACGGGGATCCCAAAGGCTCGAGCCAACCCGAAATCGGCCAGCTTCAGCTCCCCATTCTGAGGGAGATGGGAGGAACAGTGTCAGGGCCGGCTCCGTGGCCCCCCTTCCAGCCTGACTTCCTCATCGTTCAGCCATTGGCTCCAGTCTCCCCCATCTCCCACCTTCTTCCCAAGAGGTACCCTGTTTATGAGCAGATTCTGAGGCTTCAGGTCCCTGTGCAGCACGTTTCGGCTGTGACAAAACCCCAGGCCTTTTAGCAGCTGGAAGAGGAATGACTGCGGGAGGAGCAGGGAAGGGGGCGTCAGACCCTCTGGATGGGAAGCTGTGCCCAACTCCCCTCTTCACCCCCTGCTCTGCTTTGTACCCCCTGGACTTCAGCACCAAGTTCAGCGACACACCACGCACTGATTATCAAGGACTTACTTTGTATCATGCTGGATATTAGAAATGAACAAGGAATGGGGGGACTTACAGCCAGGTGGACCTTCCTACCTTCCTGCCCACAGGGATTCTCCCTTCTCTGGCCTCATTTGAACACCCACATCATAACATATGCATATATTGTGCTGTATTATTATTCAGCATTTGTTTCCCTTGGAGTCTGAGACAAGGCACTTGGTCCCGGGCCTAGAACAGTGTCTGGCTCAGTACTTGTTGAATGAATGATGTATCTCTTCCAATCTTGTTTTTTCTCCTCTCCAGTGTAAATCATGTCACTGAGACAGTTGCTGTCAGGTCAGAGATTATGGGAAAATGCTCCCGGAGAGCAAACACAGGATTCTCTCAGTCCTTGACACCCAGAGCGTCTCTGCTCAGGGCCTGAGCTTGGTGCTCAAAGAGCAGGGACACTGAATGTATACTCAAACCCCCGCCTCCGTGAGATCCCAGAACACCAGTCCCCTCACCTTCACAATTTCAGGATCTAGATCACCATTGCAGCTGTCAAAATATTTCTTAAGGTCCTAAAAAGGGATGGAGTGGGGGAATGGGACAGAGTTTAACCTCAGTCTGGGCCCCTATAGCCTCCCAAGGCTACTGTTCCCCAAGTCCCACTTTCACCTGGTCACAGAACTCAAAAACCAAAGTCAACTTCTTGTCGCTATGCAGGACATCATGAAGCCTAGGGAGAAGGGAGGGCTTAGCCAGGCAGGTCCACAGGTGTGCTCCCAACATCCCTCTATCCGCCCAGTCCTTCTCCAAAGCCCCCACTTCCTTCGGATGGCCACACAGACAAGCAGGAGCCAGAGGGTCTACACACCTGACAATGTTCTTGTGCTTCAGCTCTTTGAGCAGGCAGATTTCCCGCAGGGCAGAACTGGGTACTCCCTACACATGGGAGGGCACGGGGGGGGGGGGGGCACAGTCACATCCCACCCAGCCTGGGCCCTCAACCGCCCCCGGCCCAGACACCCCAGTCCTACCTCATCATCGTCATCCAGTCTCACCCGTTTCAGGGCCACGATCTCATGAGTCTCTCGGTTTTTGGCCTTGAACACTGTTCCGTAGGTGCCTAGTGGAAGGAGGGTGGGGTGAGGGAAAGAATGGGACACCCTTCCCCACCCCAAGACGTCCTTCCCAAAAGGGGAGGTGTCATAGGAGTTATGTTCTGATCCCTGGAGGAGTAAGAAGAGAATGGGGTGAGAGCCGGGTGTGGTGGAGCAAAGCTTTCTGAGTGGGGATGTGGCACAGAAGGGGCCTGCAGGGGCTCAAGGAGGTCCACAGCAGGGAGAGGCTGTGACAGCCAGGTAGGTAGGTCTACAATGAAAGCAGTGCTTTGGGGGGCGGGGGGGCTGGAATAGGGAGCAGGGGTCTGGGAGAGGAATGAAGGCTGGCAGGAATGTTGAGGTTGGAGGTCTACTGACAGAACTGAGGCTGGGGGGGGGGAGGGGGCGGGGAGTGCTGTGCAAGTGGTGCTGAGGGTAGGAAATGCAGGAAGTGCTGAGGTCTGGGGATTGGGCCTACAGGTAGTGCTAAGTTTGGGAGGAGGACGAATGCAGGAAATGCTAACGGGAGGATTGTTGTCTGCACGGAGTGTGGAGCTCGGGGCCAGGGCTGCAGCCAGTGCCGAGGTCGGAGTCTCTGGGCATTGCTGATGGTAGAGGAGCCAGAGATGCAAGAAACGCAGAAGATCTTGCAAGAACATCTCGTGGTCCCATTACCTTCCCCAATCTTCTCCAGTTTCTCGTATTTCTGCATCGCAGCAGCTTCGGGGACCCTTGTGGGCCCTCCGTTTTAATATTCTGGCCCCGGCAATGCAGAGGAGGCGGCACCCCAGCCTCCAGCCCGGCCCCGCCCTCCTGCCTGCCCATGGGCTTCTGGAGCTTGTAGTCCTGAGACGGCCAGGTTTCCAGTAATGCTCGGCGCCCTCGGCCGCAAGTGGACTACAACTCCCAGCAGGCTGTGCTCAGGCTCTCTGCGGCACTCGCTTCCCGGGGCTCGGGTTCCGCGGCGGAGGCAAACCCCGGA